ATAACAGTATGCTGCTGAATACATAAGATGGCGCGTTAATGGTACAGCTTAATGGTACTTTCATTTTTTAGACCCTATAGAGCGATTTCATCACAAAGAAATTTCTATTTTCGGCATATTTAATTTTAAATTACTGGTTTATTCAATGTGTAACGCCAGACAAATATTCGCCCACGCACTAACGCTGGACCTCATAGTCATGCGCAGTTGACAGGATGCATTTAAAAAGACGTGTCATTCATTTATGTCATGAGGTTTTCTTGTCCCCCAGACTCGAGTCTCTGTGTGGGCTTCGATTTTTTTAAATATCATGGATGGAAATATTTAGAGAGGTTGTTTTGTAGCTATGTGACTGAGGTTCAATACTGCGACTCAGTGTTTTGGGCAACGAACGTAGGATAGTTTATTCCAACTAACATACCTACCTAAATGTGATTATGGAACTATGAAATGATAAAACAGAAATATTATTTATAAAACATTTACTTTTTTCCGCTATCGTCCCATTGTTCCAAGACATGTTTCAGTCTTATAGTAGAGGCCGCAACAATTTCCCACCGTTTTAGCAATATGGTTATTCGTGAGGGGGCTACAATGAGGACGTGTTTTCTGAACTTTGAGCCCGGGCGTCTAGACCTTCGTGACTCCGTTGTGTGGATCTCGTTTACTGGACTTTGAGCGTCTCGATGTCCGTGTCTCAAGTATACCGATCTCGGTTTGTGGACTTTGACCATCTTGACCGTCTCAGTTCCACTGGAACCGGAGTATTCCGACCTGGTTCATCTCGACCTTGTTAATCTGGTAAGCACCTCGTAAGTCTTAACCTCGTTCATCTGGACCTCGTAAGTCTTCACTTCGCTCTCAGGACCTGGTTGTACTGATGTCGTTGGTAAGTATCTCGTAAGACTTGACCTTGTTCATCTGGACATCGTTAGTCTTCACTTCACTGCTCAGGACCTCGTCGTGTTGACGTTGATCTCCTGAGACCTGACCTCGGTTACCTGGATATCGTAAGTCTTTACTTTGCTACATAGGAAATCATTATACTGACCTCGTAGGTAAGTATCTCGTAAGTTTTGACCTCGTTCATCTGGACCTCGTAAGTTTTTACTTTGCTGCACAGGAAATCATTATACTGGCCTCGTTGGTAAGATTCTCGTAAGACTTGACCTCGTTCATCTGGACCTCGTAAGTCTTCACTCCGCTGTTCAGGACCTCGTCGTATTGACGTCGTAGGTAAGTATTTCGTAAGACTTGACCTCGTTCATCTGGACCTCGTAAGTCTTCCCTCGGCTGATCAGGACCTCGTCGTATTGACGTCGTAGGTACGTATCTCGTAAGACTTGACCTCGTTCATCTGGACCTCGTAAGTCTTCACTCCGCTGATCAGGACCTCGTCCTATTGACGTCGTAGGTAAGTATCTCGTAAGACTTGACCTCGTTAATCTGGACCTCGCAATTATGAAGCTACGGTATCTGATCATGGCAGTCTCCACTGAGTGAACAGCTCAAAATGTTGATTCAGGACAAAAAAAACTATCACTCTTATGCCTACAGCTTCCCATCCAAAACCCCAACATAATTTCAAAATGTTGACATCCGCCAGAACAAATATCATTCCACAATGATTAATGTTGATATCCTGAAATAAAATCTCTTGCAAACAAATCCCATTCCATAATGAGTACTAAACAGATTAAGAGAATGACAATTCTGAATGCTTTTCCACACAACTCATGTTTATTTATGATTGAGTTGTCGTTTCCATTTAAAACATTATAACATACTTATGGACAACAGCCGTAAATGCCAAACACACATTTGTGGAGGATGTCAAGCTTACTTTCACAACAACTGTTTGGTGGCCGTGTACCGTACTAGAGGCGCTAGCTTCCATGTTTAGCCTACACAGGTAGGGGAGTCCGGTAAGTTAGACTGACTGACTGAGTTTGGTTTTACGCCGCTTTTAGCAATATTCCAGCAACACCACGGCGGGGGACACCAGAAATGGGCTTCACACATTGTGCCCATGTGGGGATTCGAACCCGGGTCTTCGGCGTGACGAGCCAACGCTTTAACCATTAGGCTACCCCACCGCCCCCCGTAAGTGAGACCTTTGGGTCGAGGTAAAAATCCTTTGATGTTTGATGTTGCGACAACGGTGTTTTGGATTAAGACACTGGGTTTCTACAAAATGTTAAATGTGTTCACTCAGGAAACGTAATAAGACATGTGTACCATTATGTGAGTGAATCCATGTTAGTGAGCGAGTTCACTCAATGAATTTTATTAATAAAATGAACATTTAGTTCACTAAATTCATTAGTAGTGAGTTGTTCAATTTCTTACGGTTACTTGCATGCTATAAGAATGTTGGAAATGACAGTTTTCATCATCATTTCCACAACTTCAGTTATGGCAAATGCACAATTAGACTTCAAGGTTCTCCCTACTTCTCGTGGTGGAAGATACCTATGTGTAAATGGTTATATGTTCATTGTGAAAAAGAGGAAGCGGGGAGAATGGATCTCGTGGAGATGCATTGAGAAGGGCTGCAAATCAAAGTCTCAACTGTGAACGACATAATTTCAAAAATACCTGGAGACCACAACCACGGACCTGTACACAACGAAGTCAAGATAAATATTTTCGACTGTAGCAAAAATAATGATAATTTTTAAAACGATAAAAATGTAAAAGCAAAATCAATCTTGAATATATTGTGTATTCCTCATAGCCTAATATAAAGATTATGTTAATACATATTAATACTATGGATATTTTAATGTATGGTTTAAACATATTGCATACAAGATTAAGATATATGACAAGTACACTTAATTATGATTTATTCAGAATTAATGTTAGAAATGATGCACTTTGTCAGTGTGGCCATAATTGTGAAAATGCTTTTCATTATTTTCTTGAATGTCCATTATATATAATTCAAAGAGAACAAATGTTAACCTCTTTAGAAAATATAGTGAATAAAAGAGCATGTATTGATATTAATCTCATCTTAAATGGCAATGCAGGTCTCTCGCTTAGTGAAAATCAGAATGTTTTTAAAAGTGTACATATCTACATCCATAACTCTAAACGATTTAAATAACTCTGTCTGTACATATCTATACCCTTTATCTGCCTCTTGTTGAACTTTTTTGTAATATACACTTGTAACTATGTGGAGAGGGCTTATTTAAGTTGGATAACTTGTGCCCAATCCGTTTCTTAATTGAATAAAATATGTTTCAATCAATCAACATATTTATTCAAGTAATCATGACGGGATTGGCAAACAAGCATAAACACGTTTATATCGATGCCGCTCCCTAACAATAATACAATTAAATAGATAGTGATGTACACCGTGTGCAAAACATAATGGAAATCTACAAGGGAAATATTGAAAACATAATATGTGACAATTTACAAAGAATCGTTGAGGGCAAATAAACTCAGTTTTAAATTTAGTAGCTGTTGTGATGATGTCATAATACCAAAAACCTAGGTGAAAACCTAAAAATAATACCACCATACAATAGAATTAAGTTATGTTAATTGCGAGAATTTCTGGAAAGATATGATATGGTTATTTAATTAAAGTGAAATGAGCAATGATATTCAAAAGAAAATGGTCATTTGTAGTGCAATAAACTTTTTATGTAAATAATGTTATATAACGTATGTCATGTTATTTAAACACAGATATCAACCTAAAGTTAACAAAATATGTTTATTAAGAATGTTCAAATAAAAAGTTTCTTAATGCTATCAACCTTTTATGTACATATTCTCGCGGTACTTACGGATATCGGCTGAAAAAATAACACAACAATTCTTATCGTATTAATGCATGTTGTTTTTAAATGAAGGGCCTTCTCCTCCAACATCTACATCTATCAGCTGCCAGATCCATGAGGTGAATTACCACTCGTGAGCCCGGTGATAAACAATGCCATCCGCCACTGACGAAACGAGACTTCTCCCATTCTCGCGGTATTACCAGGAATTAACGTTATTGAGTGTAGTAAGAGCAATCCTGCCGGAAAGGGCAGGAAAAAGTAATGATATGTCAAAGTTGGTATAAACTCCCCAATATTCGTGACACTGCAAGATTTTGATCACTTACAGACTTGGTCCACTTCCTAGTTGCCAGTCGGTGATGTAAACAACCGCTAAGTGTCGCGCATCGGCGATTTCGGCAGAAAACGTGTTTACCGCGAGAATAGGAGACGCACCTATGTATGTATTATTTATCATCCAGATAATAGAAATTACTGTCAGAATGAATGTACAAATAAAAATGACATCATACAGCATGATCCTTGTTCAGTTATTTTCCGGTGAACATATATCAGCATTAACCGTACCGTTGTAAACACATTGCCTGCCCATTGTCTAGAACTAGTCGACCTAAACGTATGTCCTAAACGACATACCTCAGCAAACCCCAGTTTGTTTTTACACCCATCCAAAGGTCGGACTTAACCGATCTGACATTAGCCTTGCTCCAAGGCTGTATGTACCGAATGTTGAGCCCATGGATGTATAGTGATTCTATCTTTTAAAGAAGCAAGTCTAGATAAGTGGACAGTAAGGACGCCAGTCTGTTAGAGGAATATTTATATTTTTTAGAGTTAGTAAGAGTGTTTGGTTTTACGCCGCTTTTAGTAATATTCCAGCAATATTACGGCGGGGGACACCAGAAATGCGTTTCGGCATATTTTTTAGAATTTATCATTTACGCTGTTAATTATTACCTTAGAGTCTAGTCTGACAATAACATATTGTATTCAACGTATCTCTATCGGTAAACAATTAAAAGAGGCCTATGATAATACCCCTCGAGAACACGTAGGATTCTTGCAGGCATTTTACGAAATAATATGCGAAGATAAACTAGATACTTATAACAAGAGCGCATGGTCATTAATATTAACTTTGTGTTGTAAGTATACTCATGCCAATAATTGTTGTCACGCCCCTCCCCACCCCACTCAACTCCCACACCCCTCTCCAATAAAAAAAATTGAAGGGGGTGACAACCATTATTGGCATGAGTATATAAGAAGATATATTCGGGATATTTAATCTCACGTTAATTTAAATCTTTTAGGAATTAAGCATATATGAGTGTGCTGATTTCAAGATATCGGAAATACCAGTTTGGGTACCATTAGCAATGCCATTCAATGTTGTTCAATCATTTTACATCATTATAGACAGGACAGAAAAAGAAATACTACATTTTTATGTATTTATCCAACAAGCTACATTATAAAACATTGGTCATATCGTTGGGCATTTAGATCATTATAACCAAATGTTAAATGTTAATGTAAAATCAGACAAAATCTAGTTCCTAAATTTAAATCCATGTACAGATTAATAGTATTTTTATTCTGTTTTAATACCCTCTTAGATTCACCAACGATTTTGCACCATTCGTATAACAATTTGTCGAATTTGTCCTTCGTCTCATAGTCCGTCAATTATGCCGCGTCTCTCAATTTATAGCTACAGTTATCAGCGGCATTTCGAGGTATTAGGTGAGAAAGATAATCAAGTGTGAAGTGGCTGATCAGTTTTAAAATATGTCGTATTGTAACTGGTGGTAGAGAATTGTCTCGGCAAATTTTCATTCATTCATTCATTCAACGTGATTAGGAACCGTTGTTGCTCGTTAAACCGTCCTCAGTGCGTCTAACTGTAACTGTGTCTACTTACCACGACTTAAAATGTTACATAAATTGTCACTGTGCAGTGTGTGAAACGAACCGCTTGTTGTAAAATTCGGTGCTATGACATTTTTTCTCTTTGTGGATAATAGTGAGTGAGTTTAGTTTTACGCCACACTCAGCAATATTCTAGCTATATAGCGGTGGGCTGTAAATAATCGAGTCAGGACCAGACAATCCAGTGATCAACAGCATGAAGATCATCTACGCAATTGGGATACGATGGCATGTGTCAACCAAGTCAGCCAGTCTGACCACCCGATCCCGTTAGTCGCCTCTTACGACAAGCATGGGTTACTGAAGACCAATACTAACCCGGATCTTCACGGGTCACTCAATTAAATGCTACAATAGGACATATATTGCAGAGCATACGACAATAATCACGACCCTCTACAGTGACTGTTCCAGATGATAGCCAAGCTAATTAAAGTTCTCTAACTATGAAGATTAGTGTAGTTCTTACACAGTCACAAATGATCCCGCAAATATTGCATCAGCCAAGATCAGGATGAAGACGGTTCATTGTACATAAGACCTCTGGCCCGTATACATAGTGTTATAATGACGGGCAAAGTCTGGACATTGCTAATAGTGGAAAGCATCATAACATGGTGAATTTAGTTGACAGGAGAAATCAGACTCTTCCTTAATGGCAGCGATTGCGTTAAAAACAGGGCTAATTTTACATGGACAGATTCGTCCTCTGATGATAAAATTCTTATAAGTGTTTCCCTTGTAGGGTGACAACAATATGTCTGTAGAATATACTCCATTTTAAATCGACATAAGCATCAAATATAAATAACAAATGACAGACAGGTAAAATATTAAATGTTTGGCCAGTGACTGTTTACGGCCTGTATTGAATCTATTGTTCATTATATCTGTCAAATCGAGTCTAAATCTAATAACTGTATTTCTAAGTTTCAATTGACTTGATAAATATCTCTCAGGTTCCATAATTGTTTTAAAGGATCTATATACATCAAATCTAAAACTTAAACTGAGGGTATTCATCCAATTCTGACGAAACATATCAACGGGTCTTTGACGAAATTCGTTCATGAACAGCCACTAGTTACCAACACCTTGGAAAAGTCATACATATTCAAATCCATACGAAAATAACATATACCTTATATGTATTGCCCATATTACATAACCAAGATTATATAAATTAAGCGGCATGTTGTAAGATGTTTTGGGTAGCCGCTGTTCATGCATTCTCAGTATTTTGAACCAATGTTTTATGCATCGAAGGTGAGTGTTTATGTAAAGTGGATATCTTCCACATTCTCCGTACACCATATAGTTTGTTGTTATAGGATGACCAGAAATTATTGAGAATTTTAGGAATATGTTTAATTGGATTTCTAGTATAAACAACCTTGACCAGCTATCAAGTGCTTGGTTTCATTCAAGAGAGACAACTCCGTTAATCCTTTTTCATTAGTTTGTGAAGAGTTATCCCCCTTTGTTTACTTGCTAGCAGACGACATTTTCAGTGATCCTCAGTATGGATGATTTAGAGAAGAGGAAGTTGATTTTAGAGTATTATAACAAGGACATCAGATCAGCTAAAGTGATTTCAAGTAGAACAGGCATCCCTTTGTCCACTGTTTATCGTGTTTTGAAAAATATTGCAAATGGATATGGCATTGAGCACCAGGGACGCGCAGGTAGGCCCAGAAAATTGACTGTCGGTGACAGGAGGCGGCTTCGTATTCTTGTTTCTAAAAATAAACGAAAACTGAAGGCCGGATATGATTGATAGAGGAACTGTGGCTGTCTGTAAGGAGACAATTAGAACTGAGCTGCATGCAATGGGTTGGCAGAAAAGTCGAGGAATTCCATCACCGATCATGAAACCTGAACAAAAGGAGCGAAGGTTGAACTGGTGTTTACAGCATAGACATTTTAACTGGGACAATGTGATTTTCTCAGATGAAAGTTCTGTGTGGCTGTTTCCTAATACACTGAAATTCTGGACCAAACATACTGAAAAACCTTTGTATCAGCGCCCAAAGTACCGTCCGAAATTTAACGTGTGGGGCGGCATGTCTGTGTTAGGGGCAACGCCCCTCTGTGTATTTGAAGGGAATATGAACAGTGAGCGGTACACAGATATTCTCGAGGGACATTTGTATCCCGGGCTGGTTAACGCGTTTTGGGGGATATTGTCTCTTCAAACACAAAAGTCCATCAGTGGGTCCACAACACTTTATTCGTCAGCTAAGTAAGTAATTACATGATAGTGCCGCAACGGCCAGGCAGCATCACAGAGGCGATCGTCAGCCCACCTCCTAGCCGCTGTCCGAGGGTCAAGTCCCGTTCCATTAAGAATTCATTGTCTATATACTATACTGACTGTCAGGCTGCCCTGTATTGTATTACGATACATGTATGGTCAACCTGCAGTATCCAGCATGCACCTCATCCACAATCTTAAACTTCCGTGGCCAGCCGGCCATACTCTAAGGTTCATTAGGGTTAATTACACACAGGCACCTGACCTGTACATGGCTGTGCTGATGGTCATGATAATAAGCTGCTGATATTTCATGTATATTGTCAGCACTGTGATTTAGATTTAGATAACGCAACTTTAACTTAACTCAGGGAATATACAAACATGTCTATATTTCCCGATAAAACCCATACCCCATCAAAGTGCCTACGACATACGCCCTTTCTGTGAAAAAGGACGTGTCCCACGTCCTTATAAGCATTGTGAATGAGGTAGCGATTAAGTTACAAAATACATTAGATACATTATACGTCACCTATACGAAAAGTTATGATATTGTTTCAAATTGCCAAATAACATCACAGGTTAGCTGATGTGACAATAATTACACAAATTCATCAGTAGTAGGGATAAGCTCTATAATACCGACATTGTTAAAAAGACACCCTGATAATCGCAAAATTGAAAACATGATTTCAGCTGAGGTTTGCTGACAGGAATATCGACATAAGAATGACAACACCTGTGTGAAGATTTGTATAGGACATATAAAGATTTGTGTCGTGGAACCATTTTTCTGTTTTTCTTTAAAACAATTACATAAATGACAGAATAATTTGCTTGATTAAGCTTAAGTAGCACTGTATTACAAATACATTCAAGAAATTCAGGTGAAAGATTGCATGTTTCGGCGCACATTTTATCTTATGCATGGACAACAAATTCCTAAATATTAGTCAAGCTTCCATACAATATAAACATGAAACTCTTCTTATATTTGAAGACACGCACATACACACACACACTCACACACCTCAACAGTTTGTCAATTCTCTTTCCCTCACACACTCTCTCGCTCACACACACGCGCACGCACTCACACTATTCATATCATACTTATTTTAACACACACACTCACTCACACACCTCAACATTTTGTATCCTTCTAGCAATAAAATAAGAGTCAATTTGCTCTTTCCCTCACACACTCTCTCTCACACACACATGCGCACTTTCTCACCCTATTCATAGCATACTTATTTTAACACACACACTCACTCTCTCTCTCGTCTGTTCTATCTCGACATCAACACTCTTTCCCATTCTTTCTCGCCTTCTCTTTCTTTCTCTCTCTGTCGCTCTCGCTCGCGCACACACACGTTCTCATGTACTCACGTCACACCATTCAAATCAAACTCTAAATTCATTTTGGATAGATGTGGGGCCATACCATTTGAGAAAAGATTGTTTGAGTTCGGGCCATGTCATATTGTCTTTACTTGGAAGTCCTTCAAACCAAATGAGCGCAGATTCAGATAGATATAAGGGAAAAACGTTAATGAGTTCTTCATCAGCGAAATTTTGAATGTGAACAAATTTCTGAAATCTGCTTATCCATGAAGATGCAGAGCGGGGATCATGTCCATCAAACTGGCTTTGGGAGGTTTGTGCAGCAGACATAGGGTGGGGGATGGTCAGCGGGACGTTCTACGGGCGGGGAGGAACATTGAGGGGGGAGAGCAACAACGGTTAACACAGTGGGGATTGTTAATTCGACATGGGTGATTACCGGGACTAGAGGTGGTAGGCTGAGGGGAGGCTGATGGAGAGACTGAGAAAGTACGTTTAGATTTTCGGAGGACCCTCCTGGGAAAACAGGATGGACTGGAGGACCCGTCGTCAGATTTAGTAGATTTAAACGAAAAGAGAGGCATTGTACTTTAAAGAATGAACTAAATGGTATAAACACTCACCCTGTAGGATACAATCGTGGAAAACACAGAACAATTACAAATTCACAGAACAAAGCACAGTTCACTAAAAGTCACAATGTCAGTGGCACATGGTATATAGATGAGGTGACCTCTTCGTCTTGGAATCAGTCTTTAGGGTTTCTTTTACACAGACACAGGATATGGAAGAAGGGGGGCGTCGTTCAGGTGTTGCTTGAATCTGTGCACGATGGAGCAGCAACGGACCAGTTCTTGATTTCACACCGGCGTTCCATGAAACAGTATCACTTTTTTGTAGTTGTAAGCGATGGATCGAAGCGTCCACGTTGTTACACAATGGGTGGCCAGCTGTTCTCGTAGACTTAGTTTGATGTTGGTGCCTGTTGGACGTTTGATGTGATGTGGACCCAGGATGGATGAATCTCGACTGTCAGGTATTTGCTGAAAAAACTTCTTGCTGTCCATCAGTGGGTCCACAACACTTTATTCGGCAGCTAAGTATGTAATTACATGATAGTGCAGCAACGGCCAGGCAGCATCACAGAGGCGATTGTCAGCCCACCTGCCTAGCTGCTGTCCGAGGGTCAAGTCCCGTTACATTAAGAATTCATTGGCTATATACTATACTGACTGTCAGGCTGCCCTGTATCATATTACGATATATGTTTGGTCAACCTGCAGTATTCAGCATGCACCTCATCCACAATGTTAAACTTCCGTGGCCAACCGGCCATACTCTAAGGTTCATTAGGGTTAATTACACGCAGGCAGCTGATATGTACATGGCTGTGCTGATGGTCATGATAATAAGCTGCTGATATTTCATGTATATTGTCAGCACTGGGATTTAGATGTAGATAACACAACTTTAACTTAACTCAGAGAATTTACAAACATGTCTATATTTCCCGATAAAACCCATACCCCATCCAAGTGCCTACGACAGTCTTTGAATCTGGAGTTATGTTCTGCTAATATTCACATTTGATACGTGAGTAATGAGTGAAAAAAATATAAAAAATTACAATCTTTAAATTCTCAATAATTTCTGGTTGTACTGTGTATAATGTTGAGAGGCATTTTAAAAGTTGTATAGAAGAAAGAAAACCAACATTAAGGAACTCCCTACATGCCAATAAAAGTATTTTTTCAATCCGTTAAAAAGTCTGAAAACCCCCTATTTCTGCCCCATATAAAAGCATTAGTTGAAACTGTGCATCGAAAAGTCACACATCTCTGGTGATATTGGCACTAATGGGTAGAGTGATGAAAGTAGTGAGTGAGTGAGTGAGTTTATTTTTACGCCGCACTCAGCAATATTCCAGCTATATGGCGGCGGTCTGTAAATGATCGAGTCTGGACCAGACAATCCAGTGATCAACAGCATTAGCATCGATCTACGCAATTGGGAACCGATGACATGTGTCAACCAAGTCAGCGAGCCTGACCACCCGTTGCCGTTAGTCGCCTCTTACGACAAGCAAGGGTTACTGAAGATCAATATTCTAACCCGGACCTTCACGGGTCAGTGATGAAAGTAAATAGTCTAGAGCTTTTTATTTTGCTTTTGCTGATAAGGCAACAACAGTTTTACCCATTTTCAATGTATAATTAAAAAGCATTCCAAGATATTTGTATTTAGAAACTATTTGCATTGTAATGCCATGATAAGACAATTTTTCGCCATTAGCAAGTTGTCCACCCCTTCTAAATACAACAATATTTGACTTATCAATGTTAACATCTAATTTCCATTCTTTCGAGTAATTCTCCAAAATGTACAAGCGGTTCTGTAAACCTGCCACTGTGTCCGATACTAAGATCACGTCTAATTCACTAATGAAGAAGGAAAAAGGAATAGGACTTAACAAACATCCTTGCTTCACACCTAATGTGCTCTCAAAAATAGTCAGTGTATTCTAACAATAACAGATACATCACAGAATGTCATCTGTCAGTTGCTGTGCGACCGGATACGATTTTATAATATTTTGCCCGATTCAACATTCAGGATGTTTTTGAAGAGGTGAAATATAGCTGCCAGGATCCGCTTCTTCTGGTTCGAATCGTTGATTGGTCCTGTCAGCATCATACAGTTTCATCAAACTACACGTCTATGACTTTCAGTTTTCCCTCAAAATACGTTAACCTTCTGTTAATACATTTCTTCAGCCTGATCCTCTATCCAGGGCGACAAGAGACTCCGGAAGCAGTAAGCATGACGTCTTTGTTGGCCCTGGTAGACATGCACACTTACACACTTTCACGTTTTATATTATGTAATATTATTTGTTCGATTTGCCTGTAATCATTACTCCTGTGATTAGCTGTCTAATGACGTAGGCACAAGATACTGTTTCTATTCACTCATTAACGATAGCTTACTGACCTTTACAGCCCTATCATATGACGTGGCAGATCTTAACAAAACTAATAGTCCATCATTCGTAGGAAGGGAACTGCCGACGTCATCCTAACAACCTGATTCACTCTCACCCCGTTGGGATTCTGATAAGAGCAATTACCAAGCAACCTAGTTTGGTCGTAGCCTACTTCATTCATTGCGCGCTATCGAACCCTGTTATTAAATCGTTGCTTTATTTCATATATATGTTATAGAGCAAGTGCTGCGTTACATGACATACGGACACACATTTATTAATTACTAGATCAAGTATTTAGTACGGGAAATGCCATTTGTATGTTTGTGTCCTTTCGAAAGTATACTATTCATAAAAAGAAACGCTGCGTTACATGACATACGGACACACATTTATTAATTACTAGATCAAGTATTTAGTACAGGAAATGCCATTTGTATGTATGTGTACTTTCGAAAGTATACTATTCATAAAAAGAAACGCATATGCGATTTTGATAATATTGGACTCCTGTAGCAGCGGCAAAACAATACAAATATACCGTTTCTTTCCAAAACTTCATCTTTGTGTGATTGTAAACTGCTTCAGCGCCAAAACGCAGCAAATTTCAACGTTTTCCCTTGTTGTAGAAGAGTTTGAAGAAG